CTGCAATGTTGTTGCGATGTTTTAGTTTAACAGTTTGCCTTGTTGTTTGGTAATGTAGTTTGGCGCCTGTTATGTAATGCATTGTTTAGTTTTGTTGCAATGTTGTTTGTTGACTTTGCAATGTTTGGTTGCTGTTTGATTAAGTTGCAATTCTTCAGTTTGGCCTATGTTTGCATTTGAACCAATTGCTTTTGTATGCTTGCATTTTTCCTTTTGCATTTTTTATTTTTCTCTTTGTGAACCAAGAAGGGCAATCTTCTTGTGATTTTCAAAGAGGAAAATAAAAAACGTGATGAATAATAGCACTTCTGATTCCAGACGGAAAACTTTAATGATGAATATTTTCTTTTCTTTTGTTTGAAAATTCATTTCATATTCAACTGACTGTACTAATCCATTTTCCTTTATCTTTCTTTCATGTGAGTGCAACTTGGGTGATGACAAAGTAGTAGAAGACTTTGAGCATGGGAGTGATGGAACAATGGCTTAGACTTTGATTTTTTCATTTAATTGTAATAATTTATTCTTCAAGTACTATAAGCTATAAAACTTAAAGCACATGAAATAATAAATTATTTTTTGAAACAACATTTGAAATGAATGAAAAAGTCTTTATCCAATAAAACTCTTCTACTGTCAAATATCTTGCAATTCTTCCTTCAAGTCTTCCTTTATTTTAAGATTCCTGATTTAAAATAACTGAAACTGAATTCCAATAATTTCAATACAGATAACTTAAACTTTAAGTAATCCAATAACTCTGTAATCTCGTAACCTTGCAACAGCATTCCAATCAAAATATGCATTGTGTATTCTAATAAACAAGCAAGCATTTCATTCCATTAACCAGCAAAGTTTCATTCCATTAACAAGCAGATGTCTTAACAGACGCACATTATCTGGTTAACCTGGATCAGACAGTCTCAGCTCATATCTCTCATCCCAGATAATCAGGCCTTGAGAACAACCAATAACCTTTCAGCAAACTTGAAAAAGTGTGAAAACATGTGACAGTTAATTGAATTTCTGAGAATTCAGTTTCTTCTGAGAAATGCGAGAGAAACCCTAATTCTTGATTTGCTGCCAAAGAAAAGTCTGTTTGATCGATTCCTGAGCCAATCTTGAAAATCTGAGAAAACCCTAGGGTTGTGATTTCTTGTGAAAAAGGGAGGGCAAATTTTGGGGTACAACAGGAAGCTTCCCAATTTGTCAATCTAGGAAAGAAGAATCCATAAGCATCAAATCACCCTTCAAATTAACACCATAAAGCTTACTTTTACTCAAATTGACACACAACCCTGACACCAACTCAAATCCCCTCAAGATAGCTACAATGCACCACAAATTCTCTTTCGAACCATCACAAATGAGAACTGTATCATCCGCAAATTGAAACATATCAAACTTAATGTTCTCCGCCACATGGAACCCGCAAAAATCACCAGAGACATCATTATGCATCATCCTGCCAAGCCTTCTGTAACCAAAATAAATAAAAAATAAGAGATAAGGTCCCCTTGTCTCAACCCTCGAGATGCCACAAACTCAACCGTAGGAATCCCGTTAACCAACACTAAAATGGAACTAGTAAACATCGTAGATTCTGTAACACCCCATACATATATACCTAGAATAATATGTCGGAATGCTAAAAAGGGTACAATGAAACATACATATAGCTGGAAAAGATAAGAAATTAAAACTGTATACCATACAAATGACACATTTAAACATATACAATAAGCTTATCTTCAAAATTTCACAGCGGAAAGATAACATCTTCAAAGGTCTTCCTGCCATCTGCTTGCCTACAGTCTTTAAAACTGACCAACTAGCAATTCTACCACTTATAACCTGTTCCTGAAAAATAATAAGAGGATTAGGGTGAGATTACTAAATCTCAATGAGTCTCCCTATCTTAAGGGTTCACTCAGTTCTACAAGGTACATACAAATAAATGGATTCACCTAGAATCCGGGGTGTTCCTCACAGCTCGGTACAAACACACAACAAAGGCACACCATCATTGGGAGTCCCATAACTAACCAATGAGGCAACAAGAAAACATTTGGATCAAAGCCCAGTACAAAGACCATAGCGGTAAACAGTATTCGACACAAGGTTACCATAGTAAACAGTATTTGGCACAAAGCCACGGTAGTAAACAGTATTTGACACAAGGTCACGGTAGTAAACAATATTCGGCACAGGGCCATGGTAGTAAACAAAATATGGCACTAGGCCACGATAGTAAACAGTACCTGACATAAGGTCTACGTGGCATCACAATCCCACTGAACCAACATTGCCGATGTTTTACTGCCTAAGGAGATGCCTCTAATTGTGACACGATGAGTATACATCAGATCATTCCCATCGAGCACGAGCATTTCCCCCTGATACACAATGAGTATGCACCAGATCATTCCCATTATGATACCAACATATTCTATGCTGATCAATGAGTATACACCAGATCATTCCCATTGAGAGCGGTGATAATGCTCGGTCGTTTGTTACCACCAATGAGTATACACCTGATCATTCCCATGGGGAAGGATAACAAGATACATAAACAGTATGACATGCACAATGAGTATACACTAGATCATTCTCATCGCATGTCCAAAATTGCTCGGTATTATGCTGAGTATACACCAGATCATTCCCATTAAGTAACATCACAGAAATCATGGCAAAGCCACGGCAGTAGGATATATAGAATATCTGGCACGAAGCCACAACAGAACCAAACGTATCCAGAAGTTAAACCAGAATAATGGAAACACCATATAATGCACTTCATCGCAAACATTATTGGGTGTACGAAAGGTCCATGAACATATCAGATAAACATACATATCAGAATTATACAATAAACCAGAGAGTATTAAATAAGGTACAATGTTCCTGAACTCAGAACAGATATGTGCTACAGGGAAAATCATATAGTTCTTTCAGGCCGAGTTCACTAAGTGAACTGGTAGCGAAGCATCGATTCGCTAAGTGAGCTAGTAGAAAGCTCCAGTGAATGAAATCAGTAGCTTCAGCCAATTCAGAAAGGTATAGTTCGCTACGCGAACCTCCAGCGAGTGCCTGACTCACTAAGCGAACTAGTATCAAATAATTAGTTAATTACTTTCATTTAGTCCCAAAACTTTGCTAAGCAATCACAATAGCAAAAACTACTTCGCTAAGCAAACACAAAAGAACGTACCTTCTTGTTAACCAGATAATTCTCTACGTGAACACAGAGTTCGCTAAGCGAACTTCATAGAGCAGAAAAAAATCATAAAAGTAGCAGTACGATCTTGGGTCCCATACCCAAAAATCTTCACATGCAAATGATATTTAGTAACATACAGGTTAGAGGAAGCATACATATATACATAATTTCGGTTTTCATGCCACAATCATGCATAAATCACTCTAAAATCCCTTAACCCATTTCCCCCCAAAACATAGTTTCCCCAAGTCTTTAAACTATGAGACTCACCTTGCTCAATTGGAGATTAGGATGATATACTTGCTGCATTTGAACTCTTTTCTTGATCAAATTTCTACCTCCATCACCATCAATCCTGTATGCATGCATTTCACCAAAATTAGCATCATAACCTCACCTTCAAAAGCATTTTTCTCCTTCATTACAAAACTTATGAATACAAAATCATATATCAAATTGAAGGGATTTTCGTATAGATTCCAGAACTTCAAGAATTTCTTAAATCAAAGTTATGAGTAAAAAAATTATGACTTGATTAATGAGGATTATTCCATGAGTACAAAAATGGAGATGGTTGGAGATGAACATGGCTTCTCTTCTTCTCTCTCTCTATTCTCTTATTAAAATATGATTTTGTTATAACATAATACCAAACAAAGCCTTATAACTCATGCAAGAATGTTTAATGTCCCAATCACCCTCCCACTAAGCCATTATTACAAGTTTTCCCTTTTTGTTCAATCCCAACTAAATACTTAAGGTCTCTAATAATATTTCTTAATTCCATAGAGTTCATAAGGTAGAGGCATATCACTTAGCCTAAATTCTCATGCTTAGAGAATTTAGGATGTTACAGATTCCATCCAAGCCATCTATTTCAAACCAAATCCCATTCTCTTCATCACATATCTAAGAAAACCCTACGATACACAATCGTAAGCCTTTTCAAAATCCACTTTTAACACCAAACAGTTCCTCATTTCTCTTTTAGAAAAATTCAACACCTCATTGAGAACTAACACTTCATCAAACAACAGTCTACCTTCTATAAAAGTTATTTGAGATTGAAAAATCAACTTACTGATGACAAATTTCAACCTGTCCATAAGTAATTTAGAAATAAGACGGTACAAATAACCAACGAGACAAATTAGCCTAAACACCTCTATTCCTACAAGATTACTAGATTTCAGAATAAGCGCCAAGAAAGAAGAAGTAACCTCCCTAGGCAACCTACCACGATCATGAAACTCCTGCACAAATCTCACCAAATCATTCTTAACAAACCCCCAACATTTCTTTAAAAAAACCTAAAGAAAAAACATCTGGTCCAGGAATTTTATCACAATCAGTTAACCACATGACACTCTTAATCTCCTCCAAAGAAAAAGAAGCTTCAAGAAAAGATCTATACGCCTCCGATAAAGAATTAAAGAAGACCCCATCTAAAATGGAATGATCCATCATTAGTTCGGAAAAACAATTCTTAAAGTGATCATACACCTCCCCTTTGATATATTTGGCCTCCACCAGATTATCATTGACTGAGTTCAGACTTAGAATATTATTTCTTCTAAATCTTCTTTTCATCACCGAATGGAAACATTTCGAAGTCGCATCCCCAAGTTGGACCCACCTACACCTAGATTTCAGCCACAACACACTTTTCCTCAACAACATAGTATCACACACTCCTTTTGATGCCAACTTTCTAGCCTCAACAGTATTATCATTCATCCATCCCCCCGCTACATTTGACACAAACAAATCAAGATCATTGAGTACTCGCCGCTTTATCAACATTAAGATCTAACACCCCGAAAACCTCTTTATTCCATAACTTAAGCTTGGATTTAAGGATACAAAGCTTTTCTTTAAGAATGAACCCTGCTTTACCACGAATCACCATATAATTCCACACATTTTCTACAAACGGTAAGAATTCTTCATGATCAAATGAACACTTAAACAACTTAAAAGGATTAGGCCCCCAATCAACATGATTACCCACTAGCAAAAGTGGATAATGATCTAATAAAGACCACTCCCCTACCATAATCTCTTTAATTTTCCAAAGATCGCACAATTCCCATGAAATCAAAAACCGATCCAACCTACTACAAGCACCACCTTCCAAATTGAACCAAGTGAATTTGTTACCCATAAGCGGAACATCAACCAAATCCAAGTGATAGACAAAATCATTGAATTCATCTAACTCTCTTTGATTAAACTGATCAGACACACCAATTCTCTCATCAAAACTCCTCACCACATCAAAGTCCCTTCCCACACACCATAATCCCTTCGAGAAAAAAACCTTAAAAGATTTCAACTTCTCCCAAAATAACCTTTTGTTATCAATCAAGCATGAAAAATAAACATTAACAAGGTAAATGGATAAACCTTTCCAAAAGACACGAATTCCCAAGAAACCTTCTTCCACAAAACTAGAAATTAGGACAAACAATCCCTTCCTCCACACAATGAGAATACCAACAAAACGCCCCTCTGCCCACTTACCACTCCAATCTGATTCCCCTTTTGACCAAAGAGAATCCACTGCAAAATTTTCAAATTCTAGAGCTTTGTTTCTTGCACAAAACACACATCCGCCTTAGACTTTCGAATCAAATTTTTAAGAAACATCCTTTTGGCTCCCCTGCCACATCCTCGAATATTGAAGGAAGAAATAATCATTGAGTACCCAACTAAGAAGCATCCTTCAAACCACTTTCCCTTTTGTCACGAATTTCCTTTGCTCCAATCGCCTCAATTTGTTGAGATATCAAACCGCCCCCTGACATCCCCCAAATTTTTTTCCTTTTTCCATATCTCCCTTGCCACATCGCTCCCGAAATGAGACTTGAAAAAGCGTCTATTGGATTGTTCAATGTTGAAATTAGTGTTGGACTTACAACATATGATCGAACCTCCTAAGAATTTTATAGAAGACGAAGAGGAAGCTTTCACTTTTATTAGAATCAGACTAGTGTCCAATTTCTTGTCATCATTATTTTTTTTAAACAGTATGCTATATTTACATTGCAATGAGTTTTAGAATTTAAAGCCCCAAAAATAAGGGCTTGCAATCCCAAATCATCCAAACTGGGCCCATTGTCTCTCGGTCCCACATCAAACAATCCACTACTTGGTAAATTCCCATCTACTACCTTTTTACTTTTAGACATAATAGTTAGCATAGGCAATATTATTTTGCTTTTGCAAGTAACAGAACCCAAATTTCCTTCTATGAGTAAGGGACCATTCACCTTTTGTACAACAACATTATCCATTGGATGAAATCAGAATCCAAATAGTCAATAGCCTGACCTATCACCATCACATCGTCCTTATCATGATTTTCTAAAGCCACATCTGTTGACCTTCACTTTCCTTGTTCCTTAGGAAGCAGAACAAAAAGTTCATCATGTTCATATACAATATCTTCCTCAAACACGTCACCTCCCTCGAACTCCTCAAAGGAGGAAATATCCGCTCATCATCGTCGTCTGATGAAGAAGAATAGACGACTGAAAACTTCTTCTCCGGCCACATCCATCAGGCATCGACCAATTTATCCACCACCCTAATATTGAAAACAACACCATCAATATGAACTTTGAACGTACGGTTTACCAAACCAACGTGTGACGTGTGAACCATATATTATCCAAACATAACCACCACAACATCTAAGAAATTTATTGACCATGCATGATATGGAATGCCATAACATCTAAACCAATAAATTTGTTCAACATCGATATCCCCGGGTTGCCATTTCTTAATTCTTTTAAATCATTTCTTCCACCAATCTACTCCACCCTCCACCAATGCCTCCACATTACCTTTTTCAAAGCTTTTTAACAAGCATAAGTTTGGCCAAGAGGTGTAACTCTAATATCAAAATAACCTTCAAGGTGAAAGGTATTCTGAATAGTGTAAGAGTGTGATACGGTGGAAGAACTGACTGTTTTTGGAATGCTGGTTTGCGTTTTGCGTTTGTTTTCGCAAAAAGTCGCGGTAAGCAAGAGTTGCCACTGTCTTTTATTTTATCCAACAAGGAAAGGAAAAAAGCACAGAAAAATTCCTTTTTTGAGATATTTCTGAGTACGGGGGGTAGATTATAGAAAGGGAAGGTATTAGCACCCTTTCTATCTGTAGTTATCTACTGGCTCTTAGGTACTTGCTCATTGTTTTCAAAATTGTTTTCTTTTTGTTTGTGGGTTTTGAAAAGTTTTTGTTTTAACTTCGATTTAACTCTTGCTTCTGTCTTCAAGAGTGTAATGAAGTATTTTTGAAAACTTGTTTATAAAAGAGTGTAAGTGTGAAAAAGTTTTGTTTTGGATGAGCAAGTATCTAAGAACAAATCTACCTACTCGAAAAAGGAATCTTTCTATGTTTGTTTCCTTTAGACAATGCTAGCCTAGTATTAGTGAGTAGGTAGCACCGTCGTTGGAGTTTGAGGGGTCAATTTGAAAGAGGGACATATAGTCACTAAAGCAATGTTAGGATGTCTTAGTGGTAACCCTAATGTCTTAGATCATTTATATGAGGCAACGATATCCGAGGCAACTTATGATCTTTTAGACAAGAGGACGGCCTCTAAAACAACCTATACTCAATGACCATTTACGAAGGCAACCAAGTGGGATGTACCCTAGGAGTGCGCACGTGCGAGTGTGTTGATTTCAGTTATTTTTATCTTTGCACATGTTAAGGGTGATCTAACTGTTTTAAATTAGACATTCATTCTTGTCATGCAAACCTTATTATCAAACATCTAACAGTTGAATATTTGCAGAAATTAAAGTGCGGAATTTAAACTAACTATTACAAGGCGTCGGGTATTTACATCGCCAAAAACAACCCTTTGAAAATTTAAAAGCGGAAAAATAAATAAATGTCCTAATTAATTATTACAAACCGGGAGCAGATACAATAATTGAATAAAAAAATAACGCGCGTGAGTCAATTGAATCGAATGCGAAACTAGGGTTTTGACCCTCCTAATTAAATAAAAATGTTTTTGTTGTTTTTATTTTTTTAAGAAAAGAAATTAAATCCTAAAGTTAAATGCTAAATCAATTACTTATTAATTAATTAATGAAAAATAATTAAGAGACATATTTTTGGATTTTTATTTATTTTAGGAAAGAAATAAAATAATTAAGCTAATGTTAAAACCTAATTATTCTAATTGATTTTTAATTATTTGCAAAAATAAATGAAAGTTATCTAAAATTAACCTAATTAAATTAATTAGTATTTATTAATGAAAAATAAAATTCTGAATTTTAATTGGACATAAAATATTATTATTTTTTTGATAAAAAGAAAATAATTTTTGGTTAGTAATTAAATTAAATAAAATAAAATAATTAAATGAAATATAGAAAAGAAAATATAAAGAAAGAGATTGGGCCTGATTTTTAAGGGTGTCAATAGCAAGAATTCTGGCCCATTTGTGAGGTCTGTTTGACTTTTGCAATCCAGTGCATGTGCATTGACTGGCCCTTTGGTGCACCCTCAGTGGTAGCCACCAGATCTGGCCATCTGGCCATCTGGCGTGTTGATGCTGAAGGCATATGGTGGACACTAGGCTTGAGCGGGTACTGGATCACCTGAAATATTTAAGAAAATAACAAATGTTGGAGGCAGGGATCGAACCCCTGACCTCCAGCCTCTAATGCCTTAAGACCTGTGTGGCAACCACTAGGCTGCATTGTTTTGATTTTTAATGTAATACAAAATAATAATAATAATATAAGAAAATAAATATTAATGGATAATTGTAACAAAAAGCGCGCCAGATTTGAATAGGCCTATGGGGAAGTGACACTTCATCGTCTCTTTCCTCTGCACCGTGGCTAAAAATCCAAAGGGCTATACCCACGGACAGTGTCCGTCACTATAACCCTGTCCACTCTCAAAATCTCCCACAAGCCATGGAAATGATGTCTAAGGCCATGGTTTAGTTCGTCTCACTCTCCTGATCACAACCATACCCATCATGAAGGATAATTGTACCTGAAAACAAAAACCCTAAAAGCAAATTTGAAACCCTAACAATGGTGGATTTCGATTCAGACCATTAAAATGCAATTGGGTAATGTCAAAAAGCTTGCAAATGCATCATAGGTTAAGAATATGCCACTAATTCAAGTTAACAATGCGTAAATTCCAAGATACGAAATCAAGAACAGAGCGGAGTTATGAATGACATACAGCGCGATTAAGGACTGGAATGGACCAGTTCTGGATTGCTTTAGCTTCTAGGGAGTGCCAGGAAGCGATTGGTATCAATAGAAAGCTTTGAGATTGCCTCTAATGATGATTTCGAACTCACACTTTTTTGGTATTTTTTCAGATTTTGCTTTCTCTCTAGCGCCTCTTTCTAACCCTTATTTTGATCTCGGGAGCTGTAGATGGATTGTAGGGAATTGCATCCTCTTCAAAATGAGCTTTGGATGGGTCATTTCTCATAAAGTATGAGAAAGTTATACTTGGTCAAAGATGAGTTGACTTTTCCTGCAAAACCCTAATTTAACAACTTTTAAATCTTGATGAATTATGAGCAATCCTTGATGAATCATGATGAACCCTTGATCAAATGATGATATATACTTCAAAATGAGGAGGTTGGCCAAAAATCTTGAAGTTTGACTGTATGTGGGTCACAGTTGACTTTTGCCCTAGCACAATCAATTTTTGGACCTTTGAGCAATTAACTGAGCAAACTTCCTCTGCAAGGCTTGAAACTTGACATGGATGATCTTGAGAACATATTAGGACATTGGTGAGCACTTGGGGTCACTTGGACTCAAGGATCTTGATGCAACATGAAACCCTAATTTGGGGTAGACTGCCTTAGGAGGGAGCTTGTCTAGCCAACCCTTGGACTACCTTGAGCAACTTGAGGATCTTTCTTGCAATGTCTTGAGAAAAATGGGAGGGAAAATTTTGGGGTACAACAGCTGCCCCTGTTCAATTTTCTTAAACCTGAGGATGTAGATTGGCTTTCGAGCCTTTCGTGATCCAAAGGTGGAAGAGGATTGAACACTAGAGTGCCCAGAAATTTGCACTCGCATGGAGTGGTAATTGTCTTGTGATGTCTAGAATGGGCTTACAAATGCCATTTGGAGATTGCTGACGGGGGATGGGATTAAAGATTCCATATGAACAAGTGTCGATCGCATAAGAGATTCCTTAGCGAGAGCTTGTATACCTGTTGTTGAGGAAGATTCCGCTGGGGAAGGCTGATTTCTGTTGATAGGGGTAGAATTTTAGGAGCTTCGTCGTCTGTTATTCTGCTGGTGAGTCGTCTCTACTGATATTTAGGAACTTTGATCGTCCGTACTCAACTGAGGAAATAATTTTGCTGAGATTTAGGAACTCGTCTGTAATTCAACTTAGAAACCATCTCTGCTGAGATTTAAGAACTCGTCTGTAATTCAACTGAGGAAACATCTTTGTTGAGATTTAGGAACTTGTCCGTAATTCAACTGCTTTGCTGAGATTTAGGAACTTGTCTCTAGTTCAACTGAGAAACAACTTTGTCGAGATTTAGGAACTCGTCTGTAATTCAACTTGAGAAACAACTTTGTCGAGATTTAGGAACTCGTCCATAATTCAACTGAGGTAAATTCTTTGTCGAGATTTAGGAGCTCGCCCGTAATTCAACAACTTTGCTGAGATTTAGGAACTCATCCGTAATTCAACTGAGAAAATATCTTTGTCGAGATTTAGGAGCTCGCCCGTAATTCGACTGAGGTAAACATCTCTGCTGAGATTTAGGAGCTCCTCCGTAATTCAACCGAGGAAACATCTTTGCTGAGATTTAGGAGCTCGTCCGTAATTCAACTGAGAAAACATCTCTGTCAAGATTTAGGAACTCGTCCGTAATTCAACTGAGAAAATATTTTTGTCTAGATTTAGGAGCTCGTCCGTAATTCAACAACTTTGCTGAGATTTAGGAGCTCGTCCGTAATTCAACTGAAGAGACATCTATGATGAGATTTAGGAACTTGTCCATAATTCAACTGAGAAAATATTTTTGTCGAGATTTAGGAGCTTGCCCGTAATTTGACTGAGGTAGAAGCTTCATAGTTTGAATTTTGTGAGAATTTAACCGTATCCTTCCTGAAAGAGAAAGGTTAGTTGTATGTCATGCATGATATGTATATTTCAATGATGTTCTCAAAATAAATGAAATTGTGTCGTATGATGCGTATGCATGTCATGATGTATGAAAATGTGATGTTTTGAGCTGGGGAAAATAAATCTCGGATTGCTGCTGGAGAAAAGAATTGAATGCTTCATTTCCGCTGGAGATAGTGGACGAAGATGTTTGTGAGAATGAACCTGCAGGAGAGGATAACTTCGCTGGGGAGTAAACTGGTGAGGAGATTACTCTGTGGGGAAGAGATGATCTGCTGAAGATTCCACGGATAAACTCAGCTGGGGATGAATTACCGTTGCTGGTGATAATGAACCTGTTGGGGATTGAATTCCTGTTTGTGAAAGGGAAGAACTCCGCTGGGGATGATTTTCCA